TCCAGCCTTGTAGTTTTTGTGGATCTCGAGATGAAAACTCGTTACAGACGCACACACAGACACACACACACACACACCGACAACCCCTCGACAATATGCGTTTTTGCATTGCATAGCTGCAAAAAACGCATAAAAACAGTCTGCTTTTGTGCTTGCGTCCTGAGTCATGTCAGGCTTATGGGCATTATGTAACGTTGAGAGACTTTGCAATAAATATTGTCAACGCAGATGTGCTATAGCTTCAGCTCCTCTTCCTCGGTCTTCGCTGGTTGTCGTCTTTGTGCTCCTCCTTCCACTGAGTTCGCTTATCCCTTTCTGTCCTTGGCACAACCAGCACAAAATGCGTTCAAGAAATCTTACTGTCACTGATATTACTGAACAGTTTTCGTCAATTGCAGTATGCCCTGGAAAGTTTTACTGAAATGCGAAGTACCAGTAAGGCAGTGGAAGGTGTTACACTTGGGCAGTTCTTGCAACAGCAAGGTGCATCCCGCTTAACAAGTGCGGAGCTAAATCCATGGGACTACGCAATCCATCCACCTGAAACGTTTGTCGAACAGGTTTTTCTTTCAAAACATTTTTGTATTGAAAATCTTTTTAACAACATATTTTTTATCAGCTGTTGAAACTGATCCTGCAGTTGACGATCGTAATCGAAAATCCCGTGTTGTACATTATCAGCTACGTGATGCGCTTCCACAAATTACGTGACAGAAGCCTCTCGGGTTTTCTAAGGCTGAATTCAAAGAAGTTTTGCAGGTGAAGGTGCTGGAAATGCCGGGCACCAGCGAACTGGTACCATGCCATTCCTGCAATGCGGAGGGCTTAACGCACTGTTTCTACTGTCGAGGCTACGGAACTGACAAATGCACTTATTGCAGGTTATGTGTTCTAAGGATTTTAAACGTTGCGGATTGGAAGGTTCATTTCAAGGCACAGCTTCTCTAGTTCACGAAAATTTAGCGTAATAAATATTTCACCTTGTCAGCCTGTTCCTGAAAAATAATTACACATATTAATGTGAAGAGCTACAATAAGGTCATTGTTGTTGCGCCGGTTGGTTTATTTCGCTTCGTAAGTGTTATTTTACAGGGGCACTGGTATGAAAGCAGGCGTTGCTCATCCAGCAATTTACACTCATCCAATGGTTGCCGCTTTCCCTCACGTGAATTTTTGTCATCTTATCCTAAATATTTAAATTTTGGACACCGTCACCTTGTCTCGAATGTTGTTACTTTTAAGCCACGACTAATTCATACCGATAAGATATCGTAGTCTAGGAGCGTCATTACACAATATGCACCAATAAGTTCTCGAAATGGCTAAACCATGCCAAGTGTTTCTATCGGGAGAACGGTAAAGCTGGTAGTCTCTGCACGAAACGGATCGAATGCGAGAATTCCAGCACGATGACCGATAGGCGATACAGTATTGGTCAAATCAGCTGAAAAAGTTGCCAGATTCGTGGTCGAAAACCACGCGATGGACTGCAGCTGATCAATGTATCCTGATTATCTGGAAGACTTGAATGAATTTTCATCGTTTTAGTTAGCTTTCTTCTCTGACAGCTTTCCTCAGTGTATGACCATTAGGAATTATTTAGTTCCATTTAAAAAAAAATCGTTTATTCTTACACATTAGTTCCATTTCTAC